ACTTCCACAGGAGGTTGGGGCAAGCACCAAAATAAATAGTTGCTGTCTTTACGGTATAAGGAATAAATATGCAAAGTTCAAAGATAATCCATTAGGAATCGTGGCCTGTAGGCAACTCACAGTGACACAAAGAACAAATAGGGGGCATCCTTAGGGTATAAGGAATAGGTATGCAAAGTTTCAAAATGATCTGTTAAGAATTGCGGCCTGTAGACGACAAACAATGAATACAAGAAATGGACATGGCACAACCACTGGGGGTCGGGCATAAACCAAAAACAACAGAGAGAGAGAGAGAGAAATGGGGTTTAACGTCCACTCGACACAAACTAGGTCATTTCGGGACTAACATATGGTTTACGGATCACTGTCGGGATAGATTTAACACGTTGTATGGGAACTTAACTTCCTGTACCAGAAGTTTCAGAAAGATCCATTGGACAGTTTTTAAATGAAAGGAAAATTAGAAGATATTTAACAATATTTAGCAAAGTAGTCTGATACTAATGTTTTATCTCCCTTATACCCTTCGAAATGAAATGAAATGAAATGGGGTTTAACGTCCTACTGTTCTGCTCCTAACCTGGGCTAATGAAGACGGGCATACGCCATACAGTGTGCTATGAGGGAAATTTTGCCCGGACAGCGGCACTACGGCCTACCCTTATATCGAATTCCAACTGCCAAGGGATCTTTTACGTGCACGCCAATGTGTACACGGGACCTCGGTTTTTCGTCCCATCCGAACGACTAGACAGCTTTCCTTGTCAGCCCCTCCGTCCTGCATCACTGACAAGGGAGAACCATGCCGGAAAATCTGGATGAACTTTCTCGGCCAATGCAGGGATCGAACACCCGACCTCCAGGCTAGCGAGCTAGCGTCTTACCCACTTAGCCACGTGATCCCCCTTATACCATTAGAAGAAGATATAACAATTTTTCAACTTTTTTCAAACATTGTGGCTCTTTTTGGACCATTTATACTATATTGAGGCTTTTAAATTTGGATTCACACCCTAGACCACCGTTAGGACTCTAAGTAACAGAAGTTTAAGAAAGGAAAAAAGAGAAGTTTTCGGGATGAAAGCATCTGAATAGCCCCCAAAAATGAAAATACTAGATTTTCAGCGTCCCATTATATATTGCCTAACCAGCGAATTTTTACCATTTAGATGTCATATGATCGTCCATTGTTGGGGCTATCCAATGACACTTTAGTTGTTTTGAAATCTTACATAGTAATCACTTTTTTCGCAAGATCACCAGTATGGACCACAAATCTTGAAATAAACTGAAGCCAATGAAGTTATATATTATAGCAAATATTTTACCATCCATTCGATCGAGATTTGCTGACTTTACCTCCAAGTTTGTAGTTTGAAGACCACTGAAGAAGTTAAGTATGTCTTTCCTGTGGAATAGCACTTGGGCAGATATTTCAAAGAGACAATTAAATTTGTTGTTTTTATAACTTCCATTTAAAGACTTAGTGTTGTGGATGCTATAGTATGCTAACCAATCTTCTCTTAAACCGTTTTCTAATCAGGATCAGGCCCCAATAAATCGGAAATCTTCTAAGCTTAATACCCTTATCCTCTGATTCTTTTTGAATATGGTTTAGATATATCACTGCATAGATAGATATTTATTACATAAAACACGAATGGTAGCCCAGAACAACATGAACCATACAATAAAATGAGCAGATTGTACTCCCGTCTTCCTCACCACCATACTCTTTTAAAAAGTCATCTTTCCTTGCTGTAATTTGCTGATTAGACAATTTTTCATAGGCAGCCCTGTCAGACATGACATAAGACAGCTTTCTTACAATATCCATCACAACAGTCTTTCCACACGATGCAATTTCTGATAATTCTGTTTGAGTGGTGCTCGTTATTACTTCTGCAGTTTCTGTGGAAACATTTTGAAAGCCAATGGGCAGCACATTTGAATTTGACACGGTAAGTGAGTTTCCCTGAATCTTCTTTTTTTTTCTCGTAGTTCTATCTTTGTGAATACCATCATCAGAAACATTAAGAGCTGTTTGTCTTTGATGTAAATGATTTTTTTCTACTGATCTGTGGACAATATTTTCAGGACAGTTGCAAAATTATTATGTTGATATGTATTTCTTCTTTCTTGTAATTTCACAATTTAAGCAATTCTTGACCATGGAAGTATTTTCATCTGTACCGGTAACAATATCTTAAGTTATTAAATTTAATCAAGTGAAATCTATATGCTGATCCTTTCTGCATCTTTTTGCATGTGTCTCAAATTATCTCGCTTACAGTGCAGATCTTCAATAAACTTCTAATTTCAATTAAGTGCACATTGTTGGGTATGTTGGCGAACGTCTTTATCCAATCAGTCCAAACTTGTAGGTTGTATGATTTTTTTATCCTTTCATTCTCACAAACTTCTCTTATAGAGGTCTAAAAGTAAAACCACGCCATTAGTTAGATCAGGAACTGCAGGAAACTCACAACTTTCTATACCAACAGCATCAGCCAAATTTCCTATAAAACCTTTTTGTTTCTTCCTTTTTAATTTCACCATCTATAAAGAAAATTATTGATTAAAATAGTTAAATGATTATATTTTAATAGTGTTTTTGATCTATGTTAATCTTTTCATAGAAATCTATTTGATAAATATAGCTGTTTACTTGCTACAATCTGAACCATTTTAAATGACAGAGACATTGTACATTAGTTGGTCATGGTGCATCAAGGAATTACAATTGGGTGATTGCACCTGATAGATTTTAAATAAATATTTGTAATGATACAGTATATATAATTATTTTATTGTACCAATTTCACAATGGCATGTATGTAAATATCTAAGAAACTGAGAGAAAGGTCATTTTCTGTTAAATATAGGCAAGTTTGTGAGGAAATTTTTAAAAATTATTTATTTCATCAGGTCAGTCAAACAAATACGGTCGCGTATATTTGATAAAAATTTGAAATTAAATTTGCCACTTTTTGATGATAATTTTTTTAAAATTCTTAGTTCCAAGATCATCCATGTTATACTAAAGTTATAATATTAATTACAGTAACAAATATTTGCAGAAAATGAAAGCGCATTTCTCTCTACAACCATCAATTTTATAAAACTATATCAATTTCTGCTTATAGATAATTTAATTGTCGTTTTATGATGTATTTCATTACGGATATAAATTGCGTTTTGTATTTAAAACTTGGAACAATAGCGGGTTACTCAATAAAAACACTGGCAGCGTGTCATGTGACAAAAGACATGGCCGCTAGAATTGGTACTATTTTAAAGTTCACCGGTCTATTTAGATGGCATTTTTTACTGACTCAAAAGTTTTATATTGATTAATTCAGTGGAAATACATTAAGTAGACATTATAAAATACATACCTCTTCAAAAAACTACAAGCCGCAGGACCAAAACCTTGTAAAATTTCAATTCAAAATTTTCGATCCTTTAATGTGTCATCTGCTGCAGAATCAATTTCCGGAAGAGAAGTTGTGTTGTCTTGTGGTAATCCTCGTCTGATTGGCTGCCAAATATGATCTCATTGTGACTTAAAATGAGAAAATATTTGCTATTTTTAGACGACCGCTCATCACTAAAACATAATGTATTTTGACGTCCCATTTTTTTCACTAGATAAAACGGTTTATCATTAAAAAGTTGATTTTATTGTTAATAAAGTATATGTAAAATTGAGATAATTTCATTATTAGTTGAGGTAGCTTCAGGCAATTGTCTTAAGACAACTTTTTGTTTTGTCAAAATTAACGTCATACACAATGACGTCAAGTCATTTAGTAATGCTAGTCATAGGCTAGGCCATCAAAACATCTAATAGTAACCAACACTGTTAAATAAATAGTATTCACTTTTGATCTAGGAGCTTGCATTAACTGTTGTTTTATTTGACGAATGCTTGAAAGTGGTAAGAAATGGTAAAATAGTTTTGTAATCCATGTGAGGGAGAAATAGGCAAAAACGTGACTAATTCTTTAAAGTTTAGGGACACCTTGTGAAATTGCCTCAATTTTCACAATTTTGATTCGATTGAAGAATACTAAGAGCTTGTTTGTCCTAGTGGAATGAAACTTCGTACATGCGGTCTAGAATATATGCGTCGTCCGCCGCCAACTGACGTTGACCTCCATACAATGCTGTCGTGGTTGATGACATCACAGCACGATCATGACGTCATCGACAAACCTACATAATTTGGCCAATTTGAGTGACAGTATGCTGGGATTATGTCAGCGTCACATTATGACGTCAAAGGATCGATTGTGAAGTCATCAAAAATGTGCTCGCTGGACATCCGTCAGTGACGATTTACGTCCTATTACGCAAGGAAAGGCAAACTCAACGGCGAAATTCAACAATTTTTGAATGATTTGCGATGTGAAAATGGACGTGAACGCCGTTTGCTAACAAAACCAATTGTGACAACAAAACCAATTGTGACAACAAAATTATTTGTGACGTCATAGTGGGAAAAGAGTCTGGTCAAGAGTAGGCCTTTAGAAACACTGTGGTTCATCTAAAAATAGTTGCAACGCAAGCATTTTTGATGACTTCACAATCGACCCTTTGACGTCATAATGTGACACAGACATATCCAAGCATAATGTCACTTGCATGTTGTATCCACAACTTATCATATATCTTTCTCATCCGTTCGTGTCTTCCTACAAACAGTGAACGAATTCACTCAAATTGGCCAAATTATGCAGGTTGGTCGATGACGTCATGATTGTGCTGTGTCGTTATCAACCGCGACGTCGTCGTATGAAACGTCAACGTCAGTTGTCGGCGCATATATTCTAGATCGCATATACAAAGTTTCATTCCACTAGGACAAAACAAGCTCTTACAATTCTTCGATCGAATCAAAATTGTCAAAATTGAGGTTATTCACAAGATGACCCTAAACTTTTGTTATAGACTGTATTAAATTAATTTCTGCTCTGGAAACAAAAGCTTGTTACTTGTCTTGATTAAGGCTTGTTGGTGGTACTTCAGCTTCAAATTCTTCATCTATATCTTCTAACAATATAGGTGCTTGTGGTGGCTCTGCTAGTGGTATAACTTCTATAACATCATCTTCACTAGAATCGACTGCTTCTTCTTTTATAGTAATTGTTTGTGGTATATATTCTACAACACGATTATCTATTGGTTTAGTTATAAACCCGGGCTGAAATACTAATAAATGAAAAATATGATCACCACATTTTGAATCAATCTTGTCACCCTAACACTTTGTATAAATTTAGAGACGATCAAATGACATATATGACCAGTGTGTATGAATTTAGTCTCTAGCGGGCTCACAGGAAAGTTCAGCGTATTAACCCAAAAAGTAACTATGAATAAACATTATATATAAATTTCACACCAACTTGAAAATGGTTAAAAATGTCCCAGAGATGCTCAATAGGATTCAGGTCAGGGCTTCTGCAACGGCCCCCTGATGCAGAAAATCAAAGATAGGTTGCCAGGCAACAAAACTTACGCCCACAGCAGCTAAATCGTCCGGGCCGTCGACAAGGGTTGTCGCATATTTATTCTTTTGTAGGTAATCAGGGGCATTTAATAGACAATTTCATACAGAGGACATTATAATTTTTGTCGTTTGAGGATTCACAAGGTTCTAAAAATTAAACAAAGGCCGTAACTCTGGAAGTAATCTACAGAAATTGTTGAAATTCGACAGGCTTTTTCGTTTTACTAATTCAAATAATACATATTAATTTCGTACAGATCGGATAACTTTTGTCGTTTGAACGTTCACAAGGTTCAACAAAGTAAAACAAGGGCCATAACTCTAGAATTAATTGACGAAAATTGCTTAAATTCAATAGGATTCTTCGTTGCACTAATCTAAATGATCCATATCAATTTCAAACAGATCGGATGATAACAGGTGTCATTACAGCGTTCACAAGATTCAACAAAGTGAAACAAGGGCCATAATTCTAGATGTAATGAACGAAATTGCTGAAATTCTAAAGGCTTCTTTGTTTTACTAATTTAAACTATACATATAAATTTCATACAGATAGGATAATAACTTTTGTCGTCAGAGCATTCACAAGGTACAACAAAGTGAGACAAGGGCCATAACTCACGGCGTAATTAACGGAAATTGCTGAAATTCAATAGGCTTTCAGACGAGCGGACGGGAGCGACGGCAATATACGACCACATTTCCATGCGGGCATATAAAAAGGGCACGCACTCGGTATGGTCTTGCATTGTTGTCTATGAAGATTGGCCATGTGAGAAGAGAATGATTGTAAAAGTGGAAGCTTGCAGTCATATGACGGGCATGCCCATATCATGATAGAGCCACTACCGAATGGAATCCGCTCTACAATGTTCCTCTGTGCATATGCCATGTTCCTGTCGCGATACCCGTGCTCTACCAGTATTTGTAAGTTAATACTCTACCTTCTTCTTTTCTAATTACGTATTTAGGTTGATCATTTTCATTATCTATAGTATATTTCATACTACGATATATATCTTGTTGGCGTGATTTAGTTGTTAATTGTAGTTTTGGTTGTTTGACCACAGGTTCATCCCTTCTTAATGGTCGTACTACCATTTGACTAGTAGCAGCTAAAGTAAACAATTTACACTCCTTATAAATGTACTGTTACATTTGTAGCTAATAAAAATATTCAAATCAACAAAATCAAAAACATTCAATAAATTTTTACTTATGTTTGGTTAAAATAAACAATTTACACTTAGTGTGGTATGACATGTCACCCTGTAGCATTTGTATGCTAAAATTGATTTTTTTGTTGTTTTGGGTTGTTGTTGGACCAAGCTATCCAAAAATGTTGGGGTTCAAATTTTTGTGGCAACTGCATCGCCCTGTGCAGCCTGTTTTACAATCACATTTTGTGAGTTCAATTGCTTCACGAGGGGCAGGCAGATCAAGATTCAGCACAGGAACATAATTGCCTTTGTCCAACTGCCAGCCAAATGGCAGGAAGGTTCAGGGATCTAGTCAGGTACGACTTGTCGCGTATCACGGTGTACTTTGTTCCTGGGATATGGGGCAACAATGCAGCACAAGTCAGTGAAAGCATTTCTCCCACCAAGTTTTCTGAACTGAACAATTGCCATCTAAGTGCTGGTAGGTTTAATGGAATAGATGAAGAGTCGACTTGGCAGACAAATCTCTCCAATTCCTTGACCTGCCAAGGCAAGTCACCATTCACCAGCTCAGTTGAGATGATACATTCTACAAGCTCCTTGAAATAGATGATAACAGGGTCATCCCTATCAAGCCTCATTTTGGTCTAACCCATGTTTCTTTGTGATGCCCACAAATTTACCTCTCCAGTCAGCACCAGAGAAGCTGCAAAGTCCAATCAGATCTTGAGACTTATGACTTCCAATGACACACACTCGCTCGATAACATCTATGTCTAGATCTCTGTATTTTGTGTGGTGTAGCCTTTCAAGTTAATAACTGTGACCTTCAGAGGGACCACCAGCTAAAAAAAGGCGATTTTTTCGTATAATCAGGGGCCATAATTCAGGATGTTACGATTCAATATGCGACAATATCGAAAGGAACCAAGATCTTTAGGTTATAACCCTGCATTTCAAGTTTCATCAAAATCAAATTAAAATTGCGACCTCTACAGGGTCACAACTTTGATATACCCTATTTTTACACTATTCGCATACAAGCGGCAGCAATTTTGTCTGATTTTCACGAAATTCAAACTCAACCTTCATTACGGTGTAACGGGGATATAATCAAATGGTTTTTTAAATCTGATAATAATTGTGACCTCCAGAGGGACCGAAAGTTAAAAAAGGCGATTTTGCGTACAATCAGGGGCCATAATTCAGGAAGTTACTATCCGATATGTGCAAATATCGACAGGAACCATGATCTTTAGGTTATAAACTTACATTTCAAGTTTCAACAAAATCGGATAAAAATTGTGAGCTCTATAGGGTCAACAACCTTGATATACCATATTTTGACGCTAATTGAGAATGAAAGGCGGCCATTTTGTCTGTCAATTTTGGGCCGATTTTCACGAAAATCGAACTCAGTCGGCCTTAGGGTGTATCAGTGATATAATAATACAGTTTTTTAAATCGGATAAAAATTATGACTTCTCTATAGGGTCCAGATGTGTCAACTAACCTGTTTTTTTCCGTGAGACTCACGGATTCGGGACCTTTCTCCCGATCTCCTGTGCGGGAGGAATTTTCTCACGGAAAATTGCCATATTGCCGATTCTAGTTTTACTTTTTCAAAGGGAGGTAACTCCCTTACATCCGTTTCATAAATCGACCTCATGATTGGCTGAATTTGACCGGAAACTTATAATTCCGGTAATACGTACGCTTGACAGCCCAACGTGTGTTTGTGAATTGTTTGGAGTAAATAACGTAAATGATATAGAGTACATGAGCGAACCAAATAAAATAAGAGACCTGTACAAGGTTCTTTCCATAACCATCATTCTACCCCATGGCTAGTAAACGTCTATCTATGCGATTTTGACAATTCTCCGGCAATGAGTATGAGTAAACATTTCATGCCACGTGACTTTAGCGTGAAATCGGAAGCCATTATTGACTGAAATTTAGCCAACTTTTAATCTGCGATTTTGGATTACATTTACAGTTAAATATATTACTAGCAATTGTATTATAATACTTTGATATCAATCACAATATATACAAATAATCTGACTCAAAAGTTATCGAAATATAAGCGCAACTACCATTTATGTACGGGAGACACTTGCAGGAAAATACCACTCTGACGGCACGTTTCTGGGGATTTCCATTAACGCGATGGTAGCCATAGAAAACAGGATTTATCGGTTTTACAGATTGAAATTTGCTACTTTCGACTAAATGTAGCCTGCTTTTTATCTGATATTATGCTATTCAAAAAAAGTAGGGGATATTTGATTTTTAAGTGTTATTAAAGTCACCTAATGAAACTGACGAAGAAACAAATGACAAAATGAAATGAAGTTCACATTCATCGATTTATTCCAAATGATCGTTAGACTAAGTAAGGCACAGACTGACCATTATAAGGGTAAAATGATACCCGGGGTCAAACAGCAAAGTTACCACAGCATCACAACCAAGTCAGTAACGGGTAAATCCTCCTCTGTTTGCCAAACGATCATTGATCCGACGTGGCATACTCCTAATGAGACGTCTAAGGTCATTTTGGTCCAGATTGTCCCATTCCTGTTGCAACGCAGCAGTAAGTTCTTGGACATTGGCAGGACGTTGTTGACGTTGACGTAACCTCTGTCCAAGCATGTCCCAGACATGCTCGATGGGGGAGAGGTCGGGACTCAGTGCTGGCCAAGGTAATGTGGTGATGTTCTGTTGTTGGAGGTGACCTGTAACGATCCTGGCCCTGTGACATCTTGCGTTGTCTTCCTCGAAGATGAAACGACGGCCATGACGTCGTGCGAACGGCACAACATGGACTGCCAAGATGTTGTCCCGGTAGTACTGGCCTGTAACACGCCCTGCAACAACATGTAAAGCCGTTCTTCCACCAACAGTGATGCCTCCCCACACCATAACAGAACCACCCCCAAATAGATCATGTCTGATGACGTTAACGTCTTGGAAGCGCTCGTTTCGACGACGCCACACCCTCCTACGTCTGTCCAAAATATCAACAGTGAAACTTGACTCATCTGAAAACATCACATTGCTCCAGCGTCGATTATCCCAGTGTTGACGATCCCTACACCAACGACGTCTTGCCTGAATGTGATGATCTCTCAAACAAGGGATCACGCGAGGACGTCTGGCCACTCACTCTCACACCAGTGTCTGTTTGAAGACGAGCGCTGATCTGATTTGCTGTGATGACACGATTTCTCAAGGCCAAGGTACGGATAAATCGATCCTGGGCTTGAGTTGTCGCCCTTGGTCGACCTGAGCGTGGTCTGTCCTGTACAGACTGTGTATCACGGTATCTGGACCATAGCCTGCTTATGACAGACTGAGAAACATTCATCGTCCGCGCCACAACCGCCTGTGTTGTGCCGATCTGTAGCATGCCAAGGGCACGTAACCTTTCATTTTGGGTAAGCCGACGCATATCAAAATTTGTTTTCTGGTCACTAAAACAATTAAACTGATGTTTCCACCCTGGAATTCAATGCCACAATGACTGTAACATTCAAAGTCAGAGTCGTGCAAATCTTGGGTTGGACCCCCATGATGATCCCAAGCATCACCTGCATTCCATGCGGTAGCTATTGGTGCGTTTGGGCGTCACATGTAACTGGAAATGTTTCTTCTGTTAGGTTCTATAGTGACTTTTTTCGAAGTCATTTGCATATTTTAGTATTATGCCCCCAAAATCAAATATCCCCTACTTTTTTTTAATAGTATACAGTAGAATCTGTATGAGCAGCCACTCCTATTCAGCGACATCTCCTTGTAAGCGGTCACGATAAATTCCCCCCGTAGAAATTCTGTTGTTTCATCTCTTTATTCAACGGTCACTCCTCTAACGCGGCCAGCGGTCACTATTTTACTAATAAATTCAACAAAACATCGCCCATTCAACGGCCATTGTTGAATGATACCATCTTGTCGTTCTTTGTAACACCCCCGCTAATCCCGTGAGTAGTAGTTAATTAACTGGACCCCCACTGATCAGGTAAAAAGAAATGTAAACATAACAATCAACCCGGGATTATCTGTTAATTAATCTTTTGTTTTATTAAACGACTAACCTGATCATTGTTTTCACGCGTAACGACACATTATTTGATACTGATTGAATAAAATAAAAGTACCGAGTTTTGTCACGATCATCTAGTATCTCTCTTAGCGCCTCCTATAATATTACATACAGAGTTACACCCCCTGTAAATAGGAGATAAAATTAGCGATGTTTTTTGTTCATGTGCTTTTTTGATAAAATAAAATGAATTCATCGATTTTCTTCACAAAAATGGATAAATATTATCGAATGCATCACAATGGTAGACAGTAGTATCGAAGGTTGGTACAAAATGACAAGTTTACAGAAGTTATGTCCGAGATTTGAGTAAAGAATTTTCGTCCGGCGCAAGATTCAGCGACGGCCAAATTTACCGCTTCCAATGCATCCAAGCGTAATATTTAATTTATGTCGGCACAAAAAGCAACGAGATTTTATTAAGAGGCCACTCCCGTTAAGTTATGTCCGAGATTTGAGTAAAGAATTTTCGTTCGGCGCAAGATTCAGCGACGGCCAAATTTACCGCTTCCAATGCATCCAAGCGTAATATTTAATTTATGTCGGCACAAAAAGCAACAAGATTTTATTAAGAGGCCACTCCCCTTAAGCGGTCAGTTGTGAAAATTCCCTTGGGTGGCTGCTTAATGCAGATTCTACTGTATTAAGATTATAAATATTTTAAATATTATCATTCAAATTATTACGATTTTCATAATTTTTAACTGGCTATTATTTGCGGATTTCAGTTGTAAATTACTTATTTATTATGATAATTGATATGACTGAAAACACATTTTGGACTACCGTATACTATTAAAGTCTTTTGGGTAACATTTTATGTATATTTTCACAAAACATTTAAAAA